CCCCCTGTGAGAAGCTTCTCGAAGCTCCCCCAGCTCCACGTCAGCTCCACTTCTGTTTGGGAAATTGAGCCAATCGGCTGCGCCTCTGCGATAACGTATTTAAGAAGGGATGTGGTGACAGGCAGTGGGACTTGTGAGGAGGAGTTGCTGCAGCTGCGTGAACACCAAGGTCAGTGGAGGAACGGAGGAAGAAAGGAGGGGGGAGGTGTGCCGGAGCAGAGACCCCCCTGTATCCTGTGGTGAGACGGCAGGGCAGCCCCCCCCTGCCACCCATGGAGATCTACGGTGGAGCAGACATTGATTTATGGCCTGTTGCTCCTGCTCACCTGATCAAGGTTCTGTGCCTGAAGAAGGCCGGGGTCTCATGGGAAAAGGTAGCCCAGTTGCTGTAATTCAGTGCTGGGAGGATTGCAGCCTGCGGGGGTGTCCCACGCCGGAGCAGCTCGGGAAGGGCTGCAGCCGTGGGAGGGACTCCAGTTGGAGGAAGTTAGTGACCCATGACGGAGCAGTGTGGGGAACGCTGCGGCCCGTGGGAGGAATTCAAGTCGGAGAAAGTTTGTGGAGGACTGTCTCCTGTGAGAGGGGGACCATGATGGAGCAGGAGGAACAAGTTCCGGACACTCCCCTCACCGAAGATGAAGGAAGTGGCAGCACTGACTGCACCCCCCATTCCCTGCCCCTGCGCCACTGGGGAGGAGGTAGAGATATCGGGAGCAGAGCTGAGCCCGGGAAGAAGGGAGGGGTGGGGGGAAGGTGTTCTCAAGATGTGGCAATGTTTCTCACTGTCCTACTCTGTTATGTGTTGTTAGTGTCTGTAATAAATGTATGTTCTTTTTTTTTCTTCCCCTAACAAGTCTGCCTTTTGCTCATGAGCATAAAAGGGGGATTTTTCCCCATCCCAGTCCTATCTTGAAGCCCAAGCCTGGCTCTCTGTCCCTTCTCATTGCCGGAGGGGAAGGGAGAGAGAGCTGCTGCATTGTGGTTGGCTGCCAATCAGGCCTAAACCACAACAATGCTTTAGCATGCTCTGGCAGTTTTATAGATGAGGCAAGTGTCACATTTCTCAAGTGTGATTGCACAGGTTCTTACTCCTGTACGTGTGTAACAAATGCATGGTATCCTACAGGTACAGAAACTGGATGTTACCAATAGAAGCAAGTTTGCTGAACATCAAGGCATGGCAACTTCACAAATTGAAAAGCTGGAGGGATCAACCTATTGCTAGAGAAGAATAGGAATATGAAGCAGGTAAATTGTAGGCCTGACCCCAGGCATTATCTCTGAAGGATACTGGACAACTTCCATCCACAACAGATGCATAAATCTTCAAGTTAAGGCACTGGAAAACTGCTAACCCTTCTAGTCACTTTAATGCATTCTGCCCTGCTTTGAACAAGGCCGTAAATCTGAAAGCAAAGCATGGCTTCCTACACTAGGTTAACAAATTTAGCAAAACATACATTCTTCTAATTAATTTTTACCATGGGGAAAAATAAAAATCTCTGCACTGCAAAACTAGGACAAAACTAAAACAGCAACTGTGATCATTTTGTAAGGTTCATAATTTCTGCACAGTACAGCTGGTTGATTATTTGGGAGTTAACAATTCTGTACTGAGATTTCTTTGGCTAGAGCATTTAGTTTATTTAACTTATGTAGAGATCAGCCTCACTGAGCCAAATTCTATTTTTTTCAGAAATCAGCTAAAACACTTCCAATAAGGTTGTTAATTGGATCAATTCCCAACTTTAAGACCATGAAAAGTCATTAAATTAAAATCTGTAGTTCAGTTAATTATCACCACCTATTTTTTTTTTTTCCTGACTATATAATTCTTCTCAGTGTTTTGGATAATTTGTCAAGAGAAACAGTGAAGGAAAAAATATTACTTGACACTAACTCTTCTTGACTGCAATAAATGAACTGAGAATTAGGAGGAGAAGAAATATATATTAAGAAAAGGTTTTGCATTCTAAAATGTCTTCTTCTGAAACTTTAGGTTTTATTTGGATTTCATTATAATAAGTTAAAATAAGTTACTGGTATCAAGTTGCCACCTGTGTTAGATAAAAGACTCCTTTTAGAACTGCCTGTAAGAGGCAGGGGAAGAAGTGAGAGCATGTGTGACATGAGGCAAAGCCCCTGGAACATCTTCAGCCAACAAAGGACACCTGCATGACTAGGACTCCATCCTGGGAAGAAATTAGCCAACAGGGATTCCCGAGAGGTGCAAGATGACAGCAGAACAATTTCTTGCTTTCCAGGAGTGAAAACAAAGGCCATCACTACACCAACATAGGGGAAGGTGCTTAGGCCATGTCTTGCATCGACACCAGTGCCACCACCACAAGCACAACCCTATGCATTTTGTACAACTTCATCAATCAGGGAAGGTAAACACAAGAGGAATACACTGACCACCTTGGAATTTTTCCCCTAAGACTATGGAAGTCAGACATTGGGGAAATACTTGGTGTCACTTAGCATTATGCAATTCTTTAGACAAAGAAGGGATGGTAAGGTCGGAAGTCTCATCAGTGGTACACAAATACATATAAACAGAGCCGTAACATGCACAATTCACTACAAGAAATAAAGATTCTCACATAGAAAAATAATTATATAGTTGGTGTAACTCAAAGTTGTGAGATGAACCACATTACAAAAAAAAAAAAAAAAAAAAAAAAAGGCAAACAAACCAACACTTAGAACATGCCTGAGGACCTACTGAAATGGGGGTGGGAAAGGAGTCTGCCAGTTTAGGCCAAAGACGTATCTGTATGGTAAAATTAAATAGTGCAATAAAAGGGTTAACCATTGAAGCCATCTATCTCATCAGAAGACAAAGATTTTTTTCAGCACCAGTTACTGAGCAACATTTATCCATAATACAGGAGAACTGCTACCAAGGATGACACCACTGGGAAACACATTTGACAGACATCAGATACACAGCAAAAAGAATACTTCTTTAGTTCCTCAAGTACTACATATCATCAATCTAGAAGGTTTGGTGCTCAGCATGTGATGCTTAATGCTGGTGTTCATTCCAATGGATAGATACCTGAACAGTCACTGGATACTTCAGAGATCATCAGGAGACTTATTTTTACCTGTAAACATCACCTAAAGCACTTGTCAGTGCAACTAAAGCATCAAATGTAAAAGCGGAATGTGTTAATGAAAACAAGAAACTAAAGGTGTCTTTACACATATTCCCTACCCTTTCCCTTGACAGAACAAAAGTTTTGCACATGCCAAGGAAGTTGCCTTCAACAAGATAGCACTCTGATTAAAAGATGACATTGAAACATTAGTAAGACTTGAGAGGCTAAAGTCTGTGTGGGGGGATCACATGTCCAGGAGTATGTTACAAACTCAAAAGGTACGGAACTAATACAGAATCTGTGCAACATCCAGAGCAACACTTTTCCTTTCCATGTTATGAAGCTGACGGAATCCGAAAAATAGAAAAAAAAACACAAAATCAGAACCCCAAAGACCATACCTGTAACAAAGGGTAAACATCTGCTGACATTAAGAATTTCAAGTCAACAAAGGTAGATAACTTATACCAAAGAATCTGGAAGGAATTAACTGAAAAAACCCTTTGCCAAAATAACATTAATTTCATATCACAGAAAACAAGTGAACACATATGACTGAAGTACTGCCAAAAAATAAGACCACATATTCCAAAAAAGTGTAGAATTTGGTATGAGCAGCTACGAATCAGTTAAAATGTGAGAGCTCTCCTTAGTGAATTAATGGAGCCATTATTGGAGATTCCTAATCAACTTCAGAGGTGCTAACAAGTCAGTGAAGTCGGCCAGTGTAGCATCGTCAAAGAAAAGTATTGCCAAAAATACCATCTAGCTCACAGAGAATGGAAATTAGAAAGGTGAACAAAAATAATTGTAAATAACATTTACAGCGTGAAAAGATTGCTATCATCTTGTCTTCCACTCTCTCAGTCTAATACATTTGGTCTCCTTTTGAACCAAAAAGTGGGGACATATCACAATTAAAAAAGGCCCTTCCCCCCATGATGCATCCCACTGGGACCAGCACAAATTCATCCACAGCATTCTCCCATTAAACAGTACTACTTAGAAGAGGATAAAGTCAAGTTACTGAAGAGGGAGGGGGAAAGAAAAAAAAAGTTATCTCATGCAAGTAAAGTTTTAAGCCATTGAAAGTATTAAAAGAAAATTTAAATGTTATTTTAGAAATCAGTATTAAAAAAAAAAAAAGAGACCACAGTTATTTTCAAACATTCTTGATAGCTGATTTTTAAACCAGGGGCTTTGATCTGACAGCAAGAGAGCTGCCAAAAAATAGTGGCAGAGAAAAGGAAAAGTGTGGCAAGGGACTGACACAGCAGGCTTCCACTGGACTTCTTAAGAAAAGATCATAACCTCTTGTTTTAGCTGCCCCGCCCCTGCCCGCCGCCTTGGTACTGAATGTTGTTCTAACCTGACACCTGAATCCTGAAATTAAGTTTCCCCTTCCTGTTATGGGAAACATGCAGCAGTACGACTTGGATTTCTGGCACTTAGAGGTCCAAGCATGCGATGAACCCTTGTTGTCTCAGGGCCCTCAATTCCGTGTACCTGATAGCGGGGAACACTCTCCTGGCTGCCGACTAACACCAAAGGCCAGCTTCAGTTTTCCGTCTTCTGGTTTAAATTTATGCCTTGACACCAAGTTACAAACGTAACGATGCTGATGACTCCAAACATTACTTCAAACTTGAAATGCAGAGTAGACATGTGAATGCACTACAGCAATTAAAAATGGGAAGATGGTAAGCTGAAGATATGAGCTTGATGCTATCTATATAAGGACATCCAACTTGTTAGGATAACTTTAACAGAACATTATGAATTATAGTAACACAACATTTTTGAAGAGTTGCTTAACCAAGTAAAATCCAAAATCCTGTAGAAAGTAAACCAGGTCCACTACACTTTCAGTATTACAAAGTTTACACAACAATGTTTAAAGATTAAAAATATTTTATTTACACTTTTCTTTATACACATTTTATACATTTTTTCAGTTTAAAACCCGAAGAGAGCATGTATATGCAAGTCTGAGCATACTGAATCCATAGCTAGGGAAAATTACTTTCTACCAAAAAAAGAGACAAGAAAAAAAGGCTTTATAACAGTTAAGAAGAGGCAATTCAATTATTCAGAGAAGTTTATAGCAGCCCTGGGGTAATCATTAGACAGTTAATCCAAATGTACATGAGGTCATATATAGATCATTTTAATTTTATATAGGAAAAGTATTTCCAATTGCTAGACACAAACACAGCACAGTTTGAAAATAACCTTTCCTGTTAAGTTATCAAATACATTCTTTTCAATACAAACAATCTGATATTGACACTGGAATCAAGTGGGGTAGTAAGGTGGAATTGCAACCTCCAGCATATAATAATTTATTTTAAAAAGATCTACAAAAATAACAATATATAGGGAAAATATTTAAAATAAAAACATAGCTCACTCTTCACCTGTTTCCAGAACTGACATAAAAGTTAGGTGGGTCCACTGAGGTAATAAAAGTCCCCTAAATATAGCTAACTTTACAGTCCTACATAACACTGCATTTGCTAGACTTACAATAAGGTTTTCTACCAGAGCCATAAACAAAAACTACCATCTGCAAATAGAAGTGGTTTTCCCCTAGCTACTAACTTAATATTAATCCAAAGGTATTAGAAATTGATCTTTGAAAGTTATTTTTAAGACTATATAAACATTAACTGAAATTTGGAAAGTGAAAAAAGAATTAGTAGAGGGAAATCCAAGAAAACTGTGCTCAAAACAAGTCAAGTTTTTCTGTCATCTGCCACATACAACTATGTTTTATGAAGTTTGCCCACATGAATGGAAATTTTAAAGTTACTAACTAACTTCCAAAAATAGAATACAGATGCAAAAGTAGTCATTAGTATCTATTTTAAGCAGCTTCAGATTGTTTTACAAACATTAAAATCTCAAAATGTTAGCTACAGGACACTGGCAAGCTTTGTTTTAAGTAATTACACGTGCTTTCCAGTTATGTTCTTTCCACCCTCCTTCAGCGAGCCCTGCCACATGCGATGGACCACACTTACTCAAGTAACTTCACCAGCTAAATTTTTATTAATGGAAGGAGAGCAGGACAGATGTTTTCTTTGATGCTCCCCATCCTATAAACACTTAAGCACAGGTTTTCTAACATTTGCGCTTTTATGTTTTCAAGTACCGTAGTTTTCTGTTTTCTTTATATTAGACTGTTCACATATATGAAGTATACACTTAAAGTGTTAAAAGAATCAGGAGTCCAATTCACTACTACTTTTTTTTTTTTGGTCGATAAGGAAAAATATATTAAAAAGGCAAAATACCCCTACAGATGCAACTACTTCTAAAAAGACTTTGTCATATAAATGCTGACACAAGCTTGAAGTTTAAAGCGCCAGTATTGTCTCCCCATAATGCTCACCCTCCTTGTGCAAAGAATGGACATAATGAGTTAAGCAAAGTCTTCCTTTTTAAACTGGTTTGAATTTGTACCTGCTGAATTTCATCCTCTGCTTCCTGAGTGTCAAGTGAAGCTTTGTCCCTGATGCAAGCTGTTATCATGTTATCAGCATGAAAAAACGTAGCACTTGTGTTTGTAAGGCAGGAGGTCCTCAAGAAAAAATGGCCGCAAATCTCAGAAACCAGAGAGTAAGTCACAAACTCTTAAAGCTAGTTATAACAGGACTGCTATCACACTGCAGAAAGTAGGGCATCCACACTTTTCAGAAGAAAGTAACATAAAAGCAGGTTGCCAGGTAGCTCCTATGCTGCCATCAGCCCCTCTTGCTAGCAGTGCTTTCTGAAATAGCAGAGCCTTTGTAAAATCAAGTACTGCTTTCCTCCAGCTGAATCAACGGGGGACAAAAAAATGCAAAAGGTGTTTTTGCCACCTAATACTTCCCACTACAAAACTACTACCAACACTTTGTGGGGAAAAATGAGCTATTTTTTCCTTATGCAGTATTTAAAAAAAACAAAAAACAAAAAACAAAAACAAACCAAACCAAAACCAACTGTCCCCTAAAAACAGATATAGCAGCAAGCAGAATGGGGACTGGCAGTGTCCAACCCCTTTACAGGAGCACTATGTTTTTTCTCCATTCTGGCTGATTTGAAAACAAAACTTCCTCCTGGAGCTAGTTACTCAATTAAGACATTAAGCAGATACATTTTTGCTATAAACGTGAAAAAAAATCCATAGACTGTAACTCACTATGTCCACTGCTAAGAAAGGCAAGTACACTTGCTGTTTAAAAGCAGGTCATGTGTTAAATTTTAAATATGTGGGTGAGATTAAATTTGCTGGTATTCAGTTATGGTTGGGGTGGGAATAGAAGAACCATCCCCCCCACCATCCCCCAACTTAATAATCAAAGATCATAACTTACCTTTTCCTTAACAAATGAGAGGCATTTAAATGCTTTTAAACCCCACCTTAATCTGATCATAATGCTCAAAATTTGATAGTAATAGGCAATTCTTATTAGCCAGCTTAGTTTTGTTTTTATTTAAACACTAAATTATCTGGAGCTAAATACTAAAAGCAAACACAAACAAAAGCTTTCAATTAAGAAATAAAAAGAAAATATCCCTCTAATACATAAAGTAACAAAAATAACTGCCTCAAAAGTTCCACTGCAATGAAAAAGAGAACGCACTCTAATTTTATATTTCATGTTTGAAACAATAAAAGCACAGTAGAAATGTAAATTAACAAAACATTCTCACATACCCCCCACATGTTCTAAACCCAAGCAAATTCCAATCATTCCTAATGCTCGAAAGGTTACAGCCAGCTTCTCAATGGAGACACAACTTCAGGGAAGCTGAAACCAACAGTTCAAGTTAGAATTTCACAGAATAATTACTATTACAGTCCTGAACAAGACCTTTCAGAACTGGGCACCTGAAGATAAATAGGAATTTTAAAACAGAGCACCTAAAAATGATCTGGTTCTTCATGTTTCAAGTGTCAATACTCATCAATGACTTTAGTGGCGGCTGCTTAGCATGAAGAACTTCAGAAGGTGCTTAAATGCAGACTCAAAATCATAACTTGAGAAATCCCTATCCTCACCATTACTTTTAATAAAGTCTTGGCCATGTCTCTTTGCTACACCTGAATCATGGAAGACCAGATATCAGAACCATGTTCATTCTCCAGATTGGCCCTAGATAAAAGTGAAGTACTCTGCACTACACATCACATGCCCATGAAAGCCTACTCAATCAGGATTCGTTTTTGCTGCCCCATAAACTTACTGAGAAATGAGCTGCTGACAAAAAAGAACAAAAACAATAGAAAACCCTTGTTTTTTTCTTGTGCCCCAATATTTCATGAACTATGTACAGTAGAACCTTCTTTCTTGCACACAGCCAGCACCTACTCGAGTCAGTTTCTCTCTGCACCCATGCACAGTAATGTACACACAAGTCTCACAGTGAAACTAAGGTTTTAGTATAAATCATACTGGCTTTAAGTTAAGGTATTAAGAAAGTAAATTACATTTCTAATTCAGTAAACTGAATTTTAATTTAAAAAAAAGATGTAAATTTAACCACAAAGTAGTCTGTGTCAGAAGGCTGAATATCAATATTTGGTCCAGTCACTACTAGTGTAAATAACTGATAGCTACAGCTATGATGGCATATTCTCTCTTTCTGTTAAAAGATATGGAAAAGAAAATACTCTATCAATAAATCATTTCTAATTTAAAAAAAAAAAAAAATCTGCCAACTTGCCATATAGCTCCAAACCCTCACATCTCAACCCAGAACACAATTACTACAAAAATATTAAAATACAAATATGAGGAGTTCTACAGGTCCTTTTAACTTCTATCAATTATTTCAAACTTAGTTTAGGCAAGTAGGTGTTATTTTTAATGTAGGAAATATAGGGTGATTTTGGTCCCTTTGTAAGTGCATTCTTTTGAACTCCCTGAGTACTGTACATTCCTTTTCTACAGTGATTTCTGACTGGAAGATGCTGAATAAAGTGGTCTTGCATTGCTGCATATAAAGTAAAGTCTATTGCTTAAAGTGAAACACGGCAGCATAAGATTTTACAAAATATGCACGTGCATGTTTCAGCATTTTGCCCCTATGCATCTGAACTAAATGTGAGCCTTCAACTTCTCCAAATCTCTCCTTTAGATTCTAGAAGTGGATAATTTCACATCATCAAAGATATGTAATTATAATTATTTATGTCTTTGCAGATAATTCTTACCAGTCTACTGTCAGTAATATCTGCAAGTTAACATAATGGAGTTATTCAAAGCCCTCTTGGACCACACATCTCAATTCAGGCACTCCAAGGTCAGTAGCTATAGCTGTGTAGGGTTTTTTTTAAAACAAACATAAACAGTACCAACCATCCAACCAACTTACTCCACATTTTCAAAACACAGTAGTTCATAGCAGTTGATAATTAAAATAATAGTGATAAAAAAAGATGATACCACTTTAATACAAGTACCAAGTACATGTATTGAAGTATGAGTACAAGCAAAGTACTGAGAATAAACTAGTATATCCAGTTCCGAAAATAACTGTGGGTCGAAACAGTGCTGAGCATTTGCTTACTGACATTTTCCATTTTCATAAAAAAGAAAACTGGGCAGCGCATCCAAACATAAAAGAAACTCAGGTAGGATGTATTTCCTTTTTAAAAAATAATTTCTAAAATAACAAATTAATTATCAACAGTTCATTATGTAGCATCAATATAAACAGTTTAAAGTTACTGAATCAATCAGTATATACTAAAGATACTTCAATACCAAACGAGGCCTCCAGTTACCTAAAAACTTCCAATTATTTAGCTCATTAAAGGATAGTACTATACCTTAAATTCAACAGATATGGCTGAATCTGTGCACTAGTTAAAATATTGTAACTGCACATAAAAAGATGTATTTATATATAATTTTTACAGTGTATGCATGTGTGTGTATGTATTTTTTACTCACCAACAAACACAATGCAGACAATAGAAGGCAGCATAGAAATAGTGTTTTGAATATAAAAATGTTTTGCTTTCAATTTAGTAGAAAATGTGTAATTTGCATTTTGGCAGACTTACTGGTACTACTATACAAAACCAGGAAAAAGGTCATGCAAAGGGATCAAGATTTTTCTTCAACGTATATAAGGGAAAACAAAAACACCTAACAGATTTGAGAATACTTTGCAATTAACAGCAAAAGCATCCAAAAGACAATATAAAATACAGAAATTATTTAGGTTTGTTATTTTATACCTGGTTGTACCCTAGTACAGATGATAAGTTTTATTTTGACAGCCAACAAAAAAATGAAAATATAGTCTTTCTTCTCTTCCTTGCACAAATATTTTGTTAAACTCAACTGATTTCAGAAGCATAGTGGTATAATGGTCATTTAAAAAAAATAAAGAAAGTATTACGGACATAAAATGTTACCAAAAAATTAGCACACTCAAAAATATATTTTTCTTTCCCTTACTTACAATTATGTTTGTTAAAAAAACCAAAGCTTTTACAATAACAGACCAACTACTGGCTTTTTTAATAAACTTGGTGAGTATACTCCCTGTGCATCCTGTTTCTCTTAAGCATTTAGCAGTTGTTCTTGTACACAAGGTAATGTCTCTGAAGGAATTCAATTGCTTCCTATTTTTTTTACAAATTAGGTATAGCTTTTTGTATTTCACTGGGTTGTTCGTTCTGTTTTAGCTGCAACGTCTAACATGCTCCAAAACATATTCAGGGAAGTGCAAGCTGCAGACTTGTAAGCCATCCAGCTTGCATGGCATCCTTGGATATTCATCTTCTTTCCATTTGTTTTCCTCTGGATCAAAGGTGAGAATCGAATCACTGTAATGACCATTGTAACAAAGGCCTCCAAGAACCATTATCTGTTTGTCCAGAACAGCTACACCATGGCCACTCCTACCAATTGGCATAGAAGCCAATATAGTCCATTGATCAGTATCTGGGTCATAAACCTCTGTAGAAGGACATCCTTGAGATTCAAAGGAGGCCCTCAGGATCACACAGACACCACCAAAGACATAAAGTTTACCATTATAAGAAATCATTTTGTGAAAGCATCTTGCATAATTCATTTTGCATTTGTTCTCCCAACAGTTAGTGACCACTTGAGTTCTCCTTGTTCGCTGCTCTACTGTCCCTTCTTTACTGGGATCAAACACACACACTTGCTTAGAAGTTGAAGATGATGTAATTCCACCAGTGATATACAACTTGTTACCAAGCACAGTCCCTTCATGTCCATATTTATTGACTGGATAGGGATCCACAAATTCCCACTTATCTTCAGTAATATCATACCGTTCAGTGGAGTAAAACGTTTCATCCCTGGTTCTCCCAGCCACTGCATAAACATACCTCCCAATAACTCCAACAGCAAACTCAGAACGTGGAACAGACATGTCTGCCATTCGTAACCAAGTGTTCTGTCTTGGGTCATACCTAAACACTTTGGATGAAGCATGAAACTCACCATCTGGTCCCAGTTCTTCCCCACCTAACAGGAACACAAAGTTATTCACAATGGCAAGGCAGTCTGGTCGTAAAGGTACTTGAGGACCCTCTAGTTCCCACCAGACCCTTGGTTTGTGCAAGAGAAGAATTTTACTGTTTACCATACTGTGTCCTATCATTCCTCTAAATACTGCAGTCTGGGGTTTGGCAGAACGAATTTTGTTCGATTTCATTTCCATCAAAGGCTGTTGGTGAACGCTATGAAAGTAATTCATGGCTTGGTCAACCTCATGTCGCAGCTGCCGGGAGTATCGATAAAACTCTGATGTTTTTACCTATGAATACATTTAAAAGATATTAAAATTCTGACCAACAATCCAGAAAACCTAAATGACTATGTGTCATTAGAAGATTATTTTACTTAGTTTCATTCAGGCAATCTTGACAGCAATTGCATTTGTGCATGGAGGCTTAGGCTAATGTACTGTTATCCAAAATCCAGGAGGCAATTTAGTGATTAACAGCAGTGACTAATATTTTCAGCAGAATACTCACATGCAGAATTTAAGCTGGAATTAGGCACAACTGAAATCCTCAAGTCTAAAAATCATCATTCCTTCTCTCCAAAACAGCCTCTGTTCATCTTCTGCTTAATCCACGAAGCAACTAAATTAAAAATGCACTAGTTCCCTGGTTTTGAAAAACACTCTACACCCCCATTCTGTGTTTACCAAGGTCTACTCTCATCTAATTTCTGCTGATTTCTCACAGGTGAGCCCAAGCAGGTATTCCCAAATGCCAGTCTCTGCTCACAGGGCTGTTTAACTGGGGGGGGGGGGCTGTGAAGGGAAGGTACGGACACCCCTTTCTACAGATCACGTGATCACACTAACCACTTATCATGATCGTTACCTTATGGATTCCCCTGTGAGTCTCCACATGTTCACCAACGCCTCCAACACAAGAGGAAAACATCTCTAACCTATAATCCTTTGGCCTTGCATTTATTTGGTAAATTGTGGAGATGGGTTTGAACTTCCACTTCCCACATGAGAGTTACAACCTCTGAATTATCACACAGTAGTGAAGTGCTCCTTCTCAGTGCCATCTCAATTTGGAAAGAGCTATTCCTGCTCAGTTTTACTGGAGTTCGGTGGGGAGATTGCAAGAATTTACCTTTCCAGGACCCCTTCTACTATCTAAGCCCATTTAAGTTCCTGAAACTGGTCCTGAGACAATACCAAAACACAACCCCATCTTGAACATTTTAATATATCTAGTTCCAGGCAGTCCTTGGGTCACAACGTGATTCTCTTCAAAGAGGCTTCACTCTTCCTGTACAGTCTGGTCTAACACAGGATTCTGAATTACACTTCTAAAATAAATAAAAACCTGCCAGATATTGCCAAATTCACAAATCTTCTATCAGATTTGAGCCTAAGTCACAGTTTCTTTCACATAAAACTGGATTGCTTTCAAACACTCCGAATGCCTTTAGTTTGCACCAGCTCCAAAAAGAGAAGCAACACTCTGAAAAGTGTCAGGCCACTCTGAAATTTCAAAATGACCATGAGATAACATCAGAAGCTACCATTTTTCAATATCTGTTCCCCCCACCTCCGTCTGTTACCTGTCCCGAGGGACAAAAGCCTGTACCACCACGTACCTAAGGGGTGGTGGTGTGAGTTTTCATCCATATGAAAAGCAATTTGGAAATGAATGTTCTCTATACCTTGTGAATAAAGTAGTTGCTTGTTCATAAACACACACCAATCAAATTTCGTTAGCTTTCTGTTCATTTCTCTTCCTTGTGTAATAATTAAGACATTCTGCCGTCACATAAACATTTTTTAAAATCTTTTGAACTGTTATTACAAGACACAATTCACATGGATTCTGAGATTGTTTTACACATCAGATTTTCAAAAAACCCTGAATACTAACCTACCATTGTAAAGCACTGTATAGCTCAAGAGTTACAGTGACCTGATGGTTTTATTTACACTTTTTCTTTCCCCCACTTTATTTTGATAAGTTCAACCTATCTTTGCTTGGAAAAAGAGGATGGTCACCTGCAGATTGCATATATTATTCTTGGGGCAATATCCAACCTCTTTCCACCATTTTTACTGGGGGTGATGATGGAACAAAAAAGTTAACTTTGGGATAATGATTATAAAACACCCACAGTAAGCCCAACTCTGCTGGGGAGTAGCAGACCTATTTTCTTACTGCAGATAAAGAATATACCATCCAAACACAGATCTGCTCATATGGCATTTGTTAGAATAAACCATATACCTTGCCTGACTGAAAAGATTGAACATAAAATCCAGAAAATATGCTGGGGGAGAACCACAGTACATAAAAATGGTAAAATATAGAAAGCCTTAAAGGTTACAGAAAGTGAAACAGGAAGTTAAAATAATAAAGAATCATGGATGGATTACTTTATCTGTAGAAGTAACTTTCAAATTCTAAACCAGCACTACTATTTAGCACATTCCTGAACTGGAGCTATCATTTTTGGAATTAAACAAAAAGATAAACACTTTTTATTCCACCTATATGCATTTTCTTGGGTGATTATGGAAGACAACAGGATCAACATGCTTACAACGTGAGGCATGCCAGCAAAGCCTGGCAGAGATGGAAAATGTTTTTTCTTTCCCCTTCAACATTTACAACTCTGTCTTTAGATCTAGAAACTGAAATGCCAGCCAGAAACTGAAATTAAAATAAGCTTCATAAATCCTCACCACTCTTCTCCTTCACATAGCCTAAATCTCACCCCATGAGAGCATGCAAAAGGAAACAAGGAATATCTCTAATTCCAGAGACAGAATCTCAAGATCAGGGAATCAAGCTATTAGTAATTTACTACTACTTACCTCGACAAAGGCACTAACATCAACACAAAGCCTCAATTTCTGACCTTAAACCAGAAAAACATCAAGAAGTAATCAAAAAGTAAGTGCAACTACCAGTTATAAACAGCTCTCTCAGACTGAAGTTCACGGGGAAGCTATCTACAAGCACAATCTTGAAGAGATGAACATGAAAATACATAAGCACTAGCAATTCTTACGATATTCAGAAGAAAACCCCAAAAACCAAACCAAACAAAAACCCCCCACTAAACAGAGCGATAGACTATCTCAATTCTGATAAGAAAAGGTAGTTGGAGGTTTCCTAGACTTTGACGTTGAGGAAAAATATCAGCGTTTTTAGCCTTCTACCTTTGACCAGCACAACCTCTGCCATATACAAGTGGTACCTCTTCTGAGGCTCAAATGATGGTCTAAGATGAATGTTAGGATATGCCTATATGACAGTACAGGCTGCTCATGCTTTCTTGATGCAAGAAGACAAAGCAAATGCAGGTCAGTTTGCCCACTTTCACATTCACACAGTGTCTGCATGAAATCTGCCACAATTATTTGAAAGTCCTATCCCACCCATAGTAAGGAAAACCCTCCAAACACCTACACTTCTGAATAATTTTACTCTGTGTATAATCAAAAAAGACTAGCATTAAAATTTAGATGCTTAGGTATGAAAACACAACTGTATGCTGTGCATGTATTTTCGTTTTAGTAGATTAAAGAACATGGGCTTCAGCAAGCCTTTTGTGGGAATTGCTGTTTGACACCCAAAACACACTAAAGAAAATCCCTCAGCATTCAAAAAGCAGGCTTCTGCCATTACCTGTAAGTAGCAACAAGTAGTTGATGTACAAATATCTAACTGCTTACCAACAGACCGATTTTCCTGTTAAGTTGAAATGGAGCTGTAGAAGGAACATGCCCCAGTTACCAACATATTCAATTGGAGAGAACACCCACAAGTTTCTGCAACACATCCAACACAGATGGAAATGAACACTAACCATGATGAACCTTGAAGTAAAACAAATGTGCATTCTTAATAGTACATCATCAATTCTGAATTGATAAAAAAAAAAAAAAAAAACCAACCTATAAATGCTTCACAGCATTTTCAAAGTTTAAAGAAAGACTATTTGGTTAGCTTGCTGAAAGGTCTCAAAGTTTAAGCTGTACTCCCCTACCAACCCCAGACTTACTGAAAAAAGGGAATTTAATCCAAGTGCTACAGCTTTACTCATGTGATTTTTTTTACATTCTTTCAGAATCTTTCTCTTCAGTTTTCTGGACAAAACCTTCTTACAGAGGTTCTGCTGTGACACAGCGCTAATGTAAGAGCTCTCTGAAGAACTCTAATGAGAACTACCTCATTGCATCATCTACCAGCTACAGTGGTTCACAGTCAGACTTTTAGCTACACAGATAGTGAACAGCATAAACAAAACCAAATGTGTCATTCAATAAAAAAGATGACGAAGAAATAATTGAAAACATCAACCTCTACTCACCCACTAAGTAGTCAATACCAAAAACATCAAGACTTGACCAAAATCACCACCATCCCTCCAGCCATAGTAAATTGTAGCTTGAATGCATTTTCTCTTCTTCATTTTGAATCAGTGAAGCACGCAGTAAAAACTGCTGACCTTCCAAATTAATGTAGCTATTAGTCATTGCGTATTTTTCTGCTATACTGCAATGCATGCTTTTCTAGTTGCAGCAGCTATGCAAATTTTAGAATTTTCCATCCATATTCTATGAAAAAGTAAAGCCAAGGTTCAGTTAGTTTCTAATTTGAAAAGCAATCCCCACAAAAGACCAGATGTATCCCATGCTATGTTCATCATCTTTCCCTCTCACATTAAAACACTTAAGCAGACTAATAAGCTGCAGGAAGAACAATGAAACGCAAGGTAAGTGTCCTGTAATGCAAGTTTGACTTCAGCATATAGCTTGCCTTTTTTTTTTTTTTTTTTTCCATACAGCCATTTACAGCTATTGCTCTAGGTGTATTTTTGTTACTTAGACTTACAGGAAAAATTGAAGTCCCCAAACTAAACATCTATTATTTGTACACCTGGTAACTAAATCTTAAAATGTTATTATATGGGGTACATATTAGCTTGGTTCTTCCTATAGAACTGGTAAAAAAACACAGGAAAAGCTGGATGGCTCATAATGTGACTATCATCTCCAGCCACATATGCAGAGAACTATTTCAAATGTTATAAAATTGTGCTTACTTAAGTTTTCTAAAATTGCCAATTCTGAATATGGAAGTGATACAATGCAAACTCACCTACTAGGAATACAGAAGGTATGCTACACCTTTCCAATTAATAATGATGGTGTCTGTATCAGACTTCTAGAAAGCAAATTATTCCTTTTACTTGCAAAAACAATTGGTATTTTACTAGAGATTAAGATGAATCAAAACTATAGATCCATCAATCCTACTAACTAGGATCCTTACTATTTTCACATCTACTGATCTCTTATTCTAAGCACAATTATATGTCTGTCAAACAAACATTATCAAAATATTAACAAACTTATACCAAATCAAAATTCAGTCAAATAGAAAAGTCACACATATGTCTCAAACAGCAGCAACCAAAATTACTTTGCAACCAAACATCAGTATACATAGCATTGGACAACCTGCTGTACTTGACTTTTCCTTTTTGTAGCATGGATCATTACTTTGTTATATCCCATGGCCAGTACAAAAACTGGTCAGTATCAGTATAAGGCTTTGAAGAGCTATTCTGCAAGTGCTACAAATCACTCACTGTTTTTCAGCCTAACCATAGAAAGACAAGATGATATAGCCTCTGTGCAGCAAGGATAATACCCTCAAATTGAATATTTTGCTGATCCTTTTTAGAAATTGCTGAGAGAATTTATCACAATCAAGCTGGAATCTAACTCAAATCTAGTATCTCAAAGCAGAGTTGAGCCAACAATCTGTATGCGGCAACTGAGATGCTCAGCACAGAAATAACTCATAGCAAGTCGATCCAAGTCAGCAATAACCTTCAGACACAAAAATATCATGTGCAGCACCTATTTAAGATAAGAGGGGCCCACTAACCTCATCCACTTCTTATTCTAAGCTTCAGCATACAAAGTTGTAGAAGTAGATACATATGAATTACTAGACATGGAAGTAAATGAGAAAAAAAAAAAAAAAGATAAATTCAACACATTTATCAAAGGAAAGTCACCAAGACATAAATTTACAATGACATCTTCTCAAAAGTTACTGTTTTATAGGCACAGGAAACCACATACTCAAAGATAATGTGCTATTCATCCTACTTCTAAAGCAGAAGCTGATGCACCTAGTGATTACTAAGTTTCTGATTTAAGATGGGAATTTATAAATCAGCATGGGCTAGTCAACAAACCCTACAGACTGGACATCAAAAAAAAGCCTTTCAATTTTAAGGACAGAGGTTTTGAAATATCATCCCAGTAGTACACGGAAACAGTTCATGAAGGGAAATCATAACATCATTGCCTCCAATAACACAGACATGAACCCAGTGAACTAGATAAATGCCCTCTAACTTATCTCCAACCTTCCTCAAGACTTAAAGGCATGGATATGTTTCAAATAAAGGAAATTGTAACATGGATAGTGGAACTTGTGCTCCTGCCCATACACTTTGCCTTTATTTTCTAACTATTCCCCAAATCCTTACTTCATTTATCTGTCAATTTTCTTTCATACATCTACATCTCCTTTAAGGGCTGAAGAACAAAAGGAGTATCTATTCATACTTCAGAAGCAGTCTTTTCAGGACAGTTTAGAGTAAGCAAATAGGCTGCACTTTCACTTGTGCACTCCAAATGCACATCAGCCTCAAGGTATAAATCTACTCACTCATTTAATTTTTAAAAGGACAAGCCATTCCACTCACATTGTAAATCTCTTAAAAAAAAAAAAAAAAAAAGTAAGAAATAGAATGGCTTAAGAGGCCAAAAGTATCCTTACTGTGACTTGCAAAGTTAAGTTATGTAAGGTATTTATATATTACAATAACAGGCGTCTTAGAAATGTGTACTAGAAAGATTACATAAGAGTACATATGACAAACCAACCAGTGTACAGCGAATACAAAGTTTGATGAACTGTAAGAGTCAACCTCAGATTGCATTTGGTACATTCATGCAGGTGTTTAGTATGTGCTGGCTTCCAAAAAAGGGTGAATTCTGTTTGTGGATCTCCCAAAAAAGCAGTTTTACCAATATTTTCCCCATTCTACGTAGAGAAGAGAGTTCTCCTCAGGTTACTGCCAGAACAGTTAAGAGACATGCTCTTTTATTTAAAAAAAAAAAAAAGATCTATATTTTGATGTTAGCTCCAACTACAGTTTGTTCTTTGTCACTTACCATGCTGGATTACTCAATGCTCTCTAGCTGGGGCAAAACACAAATATATTCCTAGCTGCAGCAACAAATCACATACTTATTTAGCTGTGCTTCCCCCTGCTGAGTTGTCCCACTCCAGGATCTGCACTGGCTTCTCTCTACTCCCGCATACAATTAATGGAAAAGGTATTCATAGGTAAAGCTTTTATATGTGGGTATGTAAACTGGGATGCTGAAAGCGACTTCTCTCCTTTAGCTGTACCTATCTGGCCATTTGGTAGCTGTCAAGATAAACAAGAGAAGCTCTGTCTGCAGGATTTGTACCACCGATACCAAAACCAGCTCCAAAAATTATACCTAAATATAATGCTGAAGACCAACATACTTTTCACTTGTGCTTACAGAAATCTAACTGAAGATAGCTTGATGCTTGAATTTGTATCCCAAAATCTCAAAGAGCTGAAGCAGACTCTTTCACACGAGTTTTACCCTATTAGACTGACCTTAAGAATATTTCGTGAATCCTACCAGTTTTCCTACTGAAGGGCTTAAATTATGTACCAATAAGGTAATAATAATTATGTAAGAATAAGATAAAAGCGTTATTAGTGTTGCATAAAGTGTCTCATGACACTACACAGTATCTTGCGGAGTTCAGCTTTTACTAGCTGGAAATGTTTTAACCCAATATAAACATTACATTACTGTTCTAAAATATGTTTAGGTATTTATTTTGTTTATGTCTACAGGCTAATATAGGATCATAGATATATTTTATGTATTATTACTTCCTCTATTCAATTTACACATACAAAAAAAGTCCAAAATATAAAAACTCACTAGTCTCTGAAGTAATTAATAGCTTTTATAGTTTAAAATACAAGTAAATGTAGGCATTACTGCTTTAATGATCCAATAGCCCTTAAAACCACCAAGCACAATGCAACCTTATCTGTATATTCACTAGATACCAAAGTTAAAATAAATGAGAAATTAATTTGTAAGAAGCCCAACAAAAACACAGGGTCTTAAATCCTATTAATTCACTGAGAGGTGAAAAATACACAAATTAAAGTTGTATCTTATCACACAAAATTAACAGTTAAAACAAAACAGCACAGTTTAAGTAATTCCTAATCTGATTACCCTTACTGTTACTAACCTGTAAGAGAGCTGCTTACAAAATTTTGTAATTCTCTACTGTTGACAAATACGCAGAGATTCTCAAGAACTAGAAAACATTTTTTTGGGTCTATTCTTCAACAGAACAGTAGAAAAAAACAGTTATCTTTTAACCTCTTAATACATACAACGATCAGTTGATTTTTAGATTACCTGTTACAAAGATTTCTCTGATATTTAAAGAAAATCATTACATTTCACACTGTCAATAACTTTTGATTGTATTATGTGCCTTGTGTAGAGCCAAACGGATGTGTAACTTTGCAGGATCAGGGCATACTTCCAACTGCTGTTTAACAGCACAAGCACTGAAGATACAACAACAACAAAAACACACTGCAGATTTAACAGCAGATGCTAGGTTTCATTTGTAAATAACAAAAAAAAAATCTATAATGTAAAATCTACAGTCACTGTGTTTTGCTTATATTGATAATAATCATCATGACATATGCCCTACATACTACATGCAGCTCTATAATCTCTGGAAAGTAAGAAGCAAATTGTGGAAAACATTAAGAACTATTGAAATAAAACTTGATACCAGTGACCTTATTTTAAAATGTCCTTTCCATAGAAAGTCACTTCAAAATATGTATTGTAAACCTACCTGTTCTCCAGCCACTGTACATATTATTGCCTAATAAACAGATAACAATACTTTTAGATGTTTGTCTTCTAAGGGTTTATTAGAAAAATAAATGCTATCTTTTTGTTCCTCCTAATAGGTTTGTGAATCTTACCTATTTCATGGCATGCTGCCCTAGCTAAATGATGAATCCTGTCTATTGCTTTTCAAATGCACCAACCTTCTCAAAAACACTGGATGGTGTCATCAAACAAAACCTGATGTTCTGAATGATGGTGTCCGTATGCCTCCAGCGTCTTCTATCATGGCGCAGCCAGGCCTGAACAGCTTCATACAGCTCTATCTCTGGAAACCTGCTCAGATGATCATTATCCAAGTAAGACATGAGCTTCTCAAAGCTCAGATATGAAAGGAAGTCAGGTCTGGACATGAGTGGCACAAAATTCTCTAGCAGAAAGGAGTCCAATTTTTCCCTGACTCCTTCGATGTTTACACCAAAATCATCCAGAAGTCTCATAATTTCTGCACAGTTTTCTAAGCAGATTTTAGCTAAGAGAAAAGAGCAGCAAAATTTTACCACCTCTATAAGCTGGACATACATGGCAGCCTGAAGGATTTCATGAACAGTGTTCATACTCAGTTCAATAGTTCCATAGTACATGAATTGGAGGACATGACTGAAGCCTGTAGCTGTCAGACCTTTCAAATGGATTTTGTCCTGATCTCGTTCTCGCATATCAGCTGTGAACATAATCCTGAAGTAATCACTCTGGGTGGCAAGCAGTGCTTTATGGGCCTGAAATTGGTGGTCTTCAATGACAAGTGTGACATCAAGAAGCAATCCCTCCTCATACAGTGCTCTGAATCCAGCAGAGACACTGGTGTCATGGATGGAGGAGCTAAACCCTTCCACGTCCCCTGCCATGAATCACCTGGGGGGAAGAAAAAATAAATAAAAAAAAATAAAAATGTTATTTCTAATAACATATCACAAGCCCTTCCTGACCAGATAAATCCTAACCAAAACTTCTTTACTTAGGACTTAAGTTTTTACCATCCTTTTTGTTTTCTCTTCAGCTGAAAAATCAACTTAAGAAACAAACCACAAACTTTACATATTTCTCCCCCCAAAATATTCTTATATTAAAGAAAGGGTAATGAACAAGAATAACTATGCAATACTGCCAATGTGATTCCTCACTCCAAGCTACTTAGTGGTCAGATAATAAATACTTAATGCTAAAATGTTGTCATGGTTTTCTTCCTCTCCCCACCTCAGTATTACTGAAGAATTTATCTCAAGGGAGCAGTAAAACACCCAACTCCTGAATATCAAAGATTTCAGAAAAGAAGCCAAACTTTCTAAAATTCAGAAACAAACTCCAGTAGATGTGTACAAGGTATAACCTAAAAAAATCTGTCTCTTTAAAAATATATGTCAATTTACTTCAAAGTTATTTCCAGGAAACTGAACATTTTCAGAGATACTATTTAAGTTTGTGTGTCTCACTTCTCCTATAACAACATAGTCCCTTTTTCCCCCCCCTTGTTTCTTACTATAGAGATTAATTAGGCGATGAGATTTATAAAGTGCAATATACGAAGGCAACAAGAAGCACTGACAAGATTAGGTCACAATAAATAATACTCTGTATGCTGAGTTTAGTGAAGCTTTGTTGCTTATTAAACATTTGAACATCTGCAGATGCGTAGTGTTACTTACACGCAAGCTACAGTCGAACTGTAAATAAGACAGAAATAAATTAAAGACTAGCAGGATCCTACCCTGTTAAAGTTAAGGAATATAAATATTCAGTAAGAGTCTATAACAAAAACTATTCAAAATCCAGTTTCTCAGAATCTTGCTCAACTTCCTTGGGTTTAGGTAGAGTGAAGTTGCACAAGGCAGCTTGAACCAATCTAGCAATTTATCACTAGTCAAAGGTCAACAGCACACTCCATTTTTCCCTCTGTAATTCTAGGCTCTGAGCTCCTGCTGCCTACTTTGAGCCGTTTCCAGGGCTTATTGGACTGCTCAGGAAAGCCAGTTCAACTCATAAACCTGGCAAAAAAAATGAACCAAGGAAGTGTGGGGCGGGGGGCAACAATGACACACACCACTCACCCCCAGCACACACAAAAACTCAAAAGCAAAGAGCTTTCTGCTTCTCAGTGAGCTGACTTCAGACTCGACACTGCAGGGGGTATGGCACAAGAACCAACCTCATGCAAAAGGCAGGACATCACATGTGAACAGTAACAGAGAAGAATGTTAGGCATTAATCAGCTATTAGAATTGGTTCAACCATTTTTGTTTCACTTTATCCCACCTTAAATTACGCTGCAACATTCACTCAGCTATTCGTGCATTTAACCCTGAATTTCTTATAACAATTAAAGTTAATAATATTTTGGTACTGGTAACCTACATTAAAAGCTAAAAATTACCAACATCAACACATTTTAAAAACTGCTAATTTTCAAGGCGATAGAACTTTACATCAGTAGATGGACCCATAAGTGACCCTAGGTTGGCCCAGGTTTCACAACTTCAGAGAGCAGTTACCATGTTACTCCCTCAAGCACCACGTCCTGACTGCTGCCATTTTAACTGGAATGTATTTTATTAAGACTCCATCAACAGATAATCGTCTCCTCTCCGTAATTCATGAGTACACATCCTGGAAAACAAAACTGGAGATACTCTTTGTCTATGCAAAACTAAAATTCTGAGTGGGTGTTTGTAGCCACACCTCATGGAATTAGCACAGCTCCCACACTGTTGAAGCCTGACAGGTTCTGTGCACAACAGAGTTGGTGCCAGGAGTGTTCATGAAAATTAAGGCCTCATGACAAAATTCAAATTCCTGAAAGTAAGAGCAGCAGCAAGAGAACAAAGCTGACAGTCCAGTCACTTTCTCACCAGTATCCACGATAGCCCACTCCCCTCAATGTCACTGAAGAGAGAGAAAATGCAAACTGCTCTGGAGCTTTGTAGTGCGAGTCCCTTATTCCTGAACACAGCACGTGCCTACCAGAAAGAAAAATTACCATCAAATATTTTCCTAGCTGTTGCTAATTCTTGCATAAAAGCAGACAAGGAAAGATTTACTTTACTAACTTGTAGCACCTCAAAAAGAAGCAACAAAGTGAAGAGGAAGCAAAGAGCCTGACTTTTCAGGATTTTTATTTTATATCAGAAGTCCAATTAGAAAGCAAAGGTAAACACTAATATTAGCTTTTTTTTTCCTTTCATTAGAGCACTTGTAACACTTCCCCCTCCCCACCCCCAGGTCTCCAATGTTTAATAATAGTTGAGCTCATACTTCAGTCTTTCCTATTTAAGAGATTTAATTGTCATTTGCCTTTAAAAGGGCCACCCATTTTCACAAAATATGCAGCAACTTGCAGCAACTATCTCTCAGTCTTGTTTGAAATTGGCCAAGAGGTTCAAAGGTTACTAGGATTCTCAGACAGTACAACTGTGTAAATTACATTTCTTCGGGAGACCAGCTAAGACATATGCCTCAGCTTCAATTCCAAATTCAATGGAAGAGAGGGGACAGGACAGTTGGAATTTGTAGATGTGAAACAAACAGAATAATACAACAATATAGTTGAAAAGAAAGCCAGAAATGAAGCAATTTTCCCTGGGTGACTGAAGCAAAATATATTAATCTGAAAATAATGGGATTTTCCATCATACAGGTGGCAATCTCATGGAAGGAATTTCTTTAAAAGAGTACATACATTACTGTGTATGTGAACAACATAGAAGAACAATACCAGCAAGCTCTAAACACATACTAAGGTATTCCCCTTAATTTAAGAAAGATAATTACATTATAGGTACTCTGCAAATAAAAGGAGAGAAGTTAACTTTCATATAGGACTGCTTTAAAAGGCCTCTTTCATCACCCTCAAAGAAGCAAAAAGGGAAAGTTGGCAAGTAAAGGTAAGCAGGGACAAATAGTAAAGGGTAAATGCACCAAGTCCAGAGGAACACCTCCAGTGTTCCTTATAAGGATCAAAACAAGTAAAAAATACACAAAACCCCAAAAACAGCATCAGAGTGTCCAGGCAACCAGCTCTATGTGGCCCTGCTGAGCTAACGGGGTTGGACCAAATGACCTCCAGAGGTCTCTTCCAACATCAGCTAGTCTGTGATTCTGTGATCAAGTTGCTTTTACATAGAGACTGCACTGATTTATGTTTTTTTGGCAACCATCCTTTTAATTCTGATTAAATAGAAATAAGACATACGTGAAAAAAAAAAAAAAAAATCAAATATAAGCTACTTATTACCTTTCAAATTTTAAATCTATCAAAACATAAGGTGGGAGGAATCACCAAAATACATTTTAAAAACCCCAGCATGTTTTAAAACATCTTTCAGGGTTCCAATTTTCACATCTCCCTAAAACTGCCTATTCCATAAAAATATATTAAAACCAGAAGTCAGCTGCAAAACTCTACAATGGTAACAAAATGGTCAACACTCTGAAATTATTATTTCAGAATGTTTTTTAAATGTGTGAGTTTATGTCACTTGATCCTTCTTTTCACATCCCTGCTTACATTAATTTTTAGTAAATCTACAGTTTTCAATCTCAAAATATTTTTCTTCCCAAACATCAGACAGCATATTTAATGGATTATTTAAGTAGAGACAAAACCAGTAAGGTTTCTCCATAACACAATCTAAAGACGCTTCAGAATTCTATGAGTGAAAAGTGAAAGACTACTTGTCTTCCTGCATTAAATAAAAGGAGTGAATACCCTTTTTTGGCATAAAACCACACATAATATCAGCAGACATATTTTTCTTTATAGCACAAAAATGTATTGGCCGGTGCAAATACACAAGGGGATTAAAATAGCAATGAAACTGGGAAGCTAGATAGCTAAATGCATATTATGATCAACCGGTAAAAATCTTTATAACTAACATCCTCAGTCAAAAGCAAATAGCAATGTGGTAGTTCAAATATTAAAAAAGCAATACAAAATACTCTCAAATGAAGTCGTTTTTCTAAAGCATAGCTATGCCATTCCTCCCACACACACACTTGCAATCTTAGATGTAATTCTATGCACTATTCAAATGCTGCAGCTTATTTCCCAGAGGACAATAACAACACGATTTTTTTTCATACTTTCAATAAAAATGCACAATTTTTGGAGTTAGATTTTCTTCAGGCATGCAAATCACAATAGCACACTTAATCCTGAGGAAGACACGTAGCCTACAGTGGTCTATAAGAAAACTAGAACAAAAAATTCCAATGCATAAACAATAAAGGGGAAAGAAAAAGATCTAAGTTGACATTCTGCATTGTTCTGCGCATACTAGAGCTGATCAGTATAATGCAGCACAGGAAGTAAGATTCTCTGCTGAAAAGCCTAAAAAGAAATATGCTTAACCTTATTAGCTTTTTCTGACATTTCTTCCTCTTTTAGCACACAATGCATTATAGAGTCTACTCTGCTGTGACTGTAAAAGCACTTACTTGGAACACTGATTTCTCATCTTTATTCCGCAGCTGTAATAAAAGTCTGAAAACCCTGTTCCAGACTGCTTTTTCTTGCTAAACAAGGAGAACCTTCTTTCCTCAGGGTGTCTGAGGCTCTTAGTCACAAGCAGAAGAAATGGAGTCTAAACGTACAGGCTACTGAGAAGGAAGACCTGCTTTTGGCTCATGCCCTGCTTGATTTAAAAATCTATCCAAAAGCAGCACTTCCTGAAAAAGTACCCTTTAAGTAAGTGTGTTTACGTAATATGTAAGCTTATGTGCACCTTCTGTGGACAGAAATGTATCCTTCTATGAAAGTACTGACAATACCAACTCTAGCACACCAGCTGAAAGGCAGATTTCTGCTTTCCTTTACTGCTGTTCCTTAATAACTCACTTGAGATGCTGAGACAGAACTAGCAAGTTCCTCTGTTCACAGATTATGAAGTACTTGTTCATTCTACCTACCTCATAGAAATTCTGAGAAAGCACCTACGTGAACACAGCTGAACAATGAATTTTCACATAACAGAACACCATATCTGTTGAGTTACATGAAAAGATATTTTGCCAGACATACAGAACCTTACTTTGGCTACATAAAGTATTAAAATAGAACTTAAAATCCAATCATCTATTCCACTTATCCCATTCCTTTTATCTATCAAAAGCAGGCTTTAAAATTTGCATTTAAATGCAATTACATATGCTTTATTTAGTGAGGTGCATAGCAAAGACTGCTTTGAGCAGAAGTCTTTGACCCTAATTTTGTGAAAACAAACACTTTCCTGCACAAATAAGATATTTTTCCATAGTAAAATGTTATACACAGTTATGGAAAATATAACACACACAGGCATTCGCACATACAAGCAAAACATTCACAACCGAACATATTCATCACTAAAAACCAGGCTTTTGAGTGCAGTGTAGTGCAATGAGCGAGAATGCAATGAGTGTATAAATATACATTTACACAATATAAATAATTTATCCCCAAATTAAATATTTGTTTGCACGGTTTGACACTGAAACTTAAACCTTGCCTGAACCATGATTTTTCATCAGAATCTTCCATTAACAGCAACAGAAGGAACAATGTAAAAGCGAGACTGATCAGTAACCAGTGGATAATGAAACTTTCCATTGCTACACTTGCAAATGTAGGAAACAGAAATACATCAAGTTTGTTTGTGTTTTACCTAAATTCCTTTATAATTACCATGTGAAGTTTGGGAAACAATGTATCTTAAACACATCCATAGGTTCACAAGAAAGACTTCACCCAAGTCATGCTGAGAACTCCCAAAACAACTGCATTACTTTAGAAGAGAGGAGTTTGGAGCTCACTGATTGCTGCCAGTAAGAGGAAACAGCCTGCTGGAACTCTAGAAATTAAAACTTGGGTACTCCTGAAAACTGCCCACACTGCACGAAGAATTTCTTACAGGCACGCATCTGACCATGACAGCTCCTTTTCCAATCTCTACCTATGTTGCCACCTCTGAGTGACCTGCACCAGTTCGTAACAGTGGCACTTTTATAACATATCAGTTGTCTCCGAGGTCATTATGGTTATGCTAAAAGCATTAACACAACTAGTTATAGCCAAACTCACTGAAACTTGTACGGACTGTGTGTCAGCTCAGTATGTTTATACATCACTCTAAGTATGCTAGGACCCTGCTGAGTAGTCTTTAGCTATCTTCATAGAGTACAGTACTATGAAAGAGTGGTTTGTTCCATTTTCTGCTTGAGAAACCTCTAACTCAAGCAGATGTACTGTTGCTCTCATATGCATGTATTCATAATGGATAGGCTTCTCAAGCTCATGCTGCTCTCTGTTCCTAAAAACTTACACTATAAGCCAATTTAGTCTTTCTGCACAGAAGGGTCCAAATGTTACAAGCACGCACACACACAGACACACAAATCATAAAATCACAGAATGGTTTCTGTGCGAAAGGACCTTAAAGACCATCTAGTTCCAACCCCCCTCCCACCAGACCAGGTTGCTCAAAGCCCCGTCCAGCCTGGCCTTGAACCCTTCCAGGGAGGGGGCAGCCACAGCTGCTCTGGGCAACCTGTGCCAGTGCCTCACCACTCTCACAGTAAAGAATTTCTTCCTTACATGTGCTCTAAGTCTCCCCTCTTTCAGTTTAAACCCGTTACCCCTTGTCCTATTACTACATGCCCTGATAAAGAGTCCCTCCTCACCTTTCCTGTAGGCCCCCTTTAAGTACTGGAAGGCTGCTGAAAGGTCTTCCCAGAGCCTTCTCCAGACCAAACAACCCCAACTCTCTCATCCTCAAATCAGAACTCTTTTGCTTTAAAATACTGTTGAAGAGTATAGTTTTCACATATGTTCAATTCAGATGAATACTAATTGATTATATGTCAGAAACTTCCTATTTTACAACACTAACCACCAGAGAATAAAATATGCTCCCTAGTTCAGCCCTTAAATTAAGCTTTAAGATGACTATCAGAAGGATTCTGATGAAAGTACATGCTTGACAAGCATTTTAAGACTGCCAGACATATGCATCAGCTGTAGTTACTTGACCAGTTTAACTTCACCTAACTGCATATAAACTCTGCTTCTGTCTCATGAATTAACATCAGTGAGATATACATTAGCTTATCATCATATTAGTCCATTATGCAGATGATGTAACTGCACTTCACATTGATACTTTAAACCATTTAGCTAAAAGATCACTGCATCATTACACCTGTACAGAAAAATATACTCCCAAACGTAGAGCAAGCTCAGCTCAATGCTCTTCCGAGTACATTTACTGATACCAGAACAGACGCCCAATATAAAATATTTTTAATATATCTGTAAGAATGAGAATTTTCTTTAACCAGAAAAACTTTTATCACTAATACTTAAGAGTTAAAAGATGGCTTTGTTGAAAACTACAGATTTACCACTGCTCTCAAAGTGCACAGGACTGCTCTATCTCAAGTGCCAACATTCCATATATATATATTTGTGGCTTCTATAATGATTAATTTTTCCAAATGTACGGAAAAACTATTATTAGTGATTTTCTCAGTGTGAAGATACTTACCAATAATGGTGTATTTTATACAGAAAAGTAGCAAGTGAAGTATTTCTTAGTAGCAAAAATCTAATCCTACTTTTTTAGACTCTCATCACATGAATTTTTAGCATAATAAAAAGGTAATGAGTTACAAGTGTTATTTAAACTATATTGGTAAAAATAATTTTAACCTAAATTAAGATAGTTGAACTATCCCTTACAAATGTCTTTTTTTATTATCTGTATATTTATTGCTTAGTTAATACTTTTAGCATCTAGTGAGAAAATGAGATTAATGAGATTGTGCCTTTTGTTCATGACACACAGCTTTTGACTTGATTGCCAAATGTCAACCTCATTTCTCAGAAAGACAGAAGTCTCCAACATACTAAATTTCTACAGATTTCCCCAAAATTGGCAGCTAGATAATCAAAAAAGATCCAGTGCCTCCAGTGTGAGCTCAACAGTTATCTGTTCTGCTTTGCTTGCTGAAAGGCAAATCAACACATGTGTAGATCCAAACCAGCCATAGGGTATAATTAAGGAAAGTGAAAGGAGATGAGTGACAGTGGGAAAGTTTATAGACATGTGGTAGAAATTAAATGCGTTGGCTAGGTGTTGGAAGGAAAAAAACAGAAAGGATGTTGGCACATGGCGGTAATGCTGAGGAGATCTGAGTGTGAACTGGGGCAATAACAGTGGAAGAGCTGGGTTACTATCTTAGGGACAAGTATACACAACAAAGAAGTCAACAGGAAGCCAGACTTCAGTAGTTCTACCCTTTTATCCAGTAACAGCTTTATAGTTTCCCTATTCTTCTAAATGAGGGGGACAAAAAACAAAACAAACAAACAAACCAAAACAAAAACCCACACAAAACAACCCCCCAAAACAACAAAATAAGAACTTTAAATTTTTAGGCGATTTTTAAGTGTTTACCGAATAGGTCAAAGCTCTAGTACCAATCCTGGGCAGCAGCCTGCTCGTTCAGCTCACAAGTACTTTTTTCTCCCCTGATGGGGAAATTGCCATTTTCGGGGTAGGAACTCAGATGACCGACTTCAGCTCGCCTGCCTGACACGTTTCGCACCACCCCGCTGCGAGCGCAGGCTCAGGGGCCGCGCTCCCCCACGAAGGGGGCAGGCGGGCTGGGAGTCACGGACGCGTCGCCGCGGGAGCCCACGGCGTCCGGCTCGGGGCTGCGGCCGCCCCGCGGGAGCGCACGGCTTTCGCGGCGCCCACCCGGCCTTACCCGCCGCCCCCGGGGAAGGCGGATCCCCGAAGGCCGGGAGGGGGCCCGGGCCGCCCGCGCTAGGGCAGGCAGCGGCGGGAGGGCCCGGGGGATCCCGGCGGCGGCTTCACCTACCTCTCGGCAGCGGCGGCGCTGAAGACGCGACTCCTCCCGCTGGACCGGCGGAGAGGGGGGCCTCTGTGTAACATAAAGCCGGGGGCGGCGGTGGTGGCGGCGGCGGAGGGAGGTGCCGGGGGTCTGAAGAGAGGGGCAATGGCTGAGGCAAAGCCGGGAGGAGGAGGAGGAGGCGGAGGAGGAGGAAGGGGGGATCCTGGGCTCCCTCCTCCCCGCGGTCCGTGCTCAGGGGGAGGTGGGGAGCCGCCCCCCGCCGCGCCGCGCCGCCCGGGCGCCGGCGCTCCCGGCCCGGCCCGCGGGGTCCCTGAGCTCCCGCCCGCCCCCCGCCGCTCACACTTGTTTACCTTCTGCGCTGCTTAGCACGGCCGCAGGCGCCATCTTTCCCCGCCACGGGCACCTCGCGCCGCCCGTCACTTCCGCCGCCACCTGCGGGCCCGGCGGAGGGGGCTGCCCGGGCCGCCACCGCCGCGCTCCCGCCCCGGCCCGGCCCGGCCCGGCCCCGCTGGCCAACCCTCGCCCTGTCCCACGCCGGCACCTCCCTGCCCCTTGCCGTGTCAGCCTGCCGCCGGCGCACACCGGGCGACCAGGCACGCCCCGGGAAGCCTAGCCCCTTACCGGAGCCCAGCGGGGGCCGCGCAGGGCTGGGGGCAGCGGTACCGACAAGCCTCATCCGCGCCTGGCTCGGAGGGACGCTCATCCGCAGGCGGCCGGGGTGTTTCTCCTCCACCCCCCTGCAAACCGCGGCCCCTTCCCCAGCCCCGCGGGGTGTAACCCCTGCCAAGAGCTTGCTGAACTCCTCCCCCGACACCCGGCCAGCTGCCGGTGCCGCAGGCGGACCCCAGCTCCCTCCCCGCCGCCGCGGGAACCGGCTCACCGGAGCCCGGCGGGTCAGGGCCGCCGGCCACGGGGAGCTGCAGCCCCGCGCGGGATGGACAGGGCTTTGCCTCGCCACGAACATCGCCTCTCCACTTTCTGCATCTTGCCGCTGCCTGGCGAGCTCCGACTTTCTTTTGAGAGGTGAACTACGCGGACCTTTGGCTTGCCACTGCCACCCCCACACATTCGCTACCTGCGCCGTATGCCCCCCTCACCGTCTATGCCCCCCGCCACACGCTGCCATCCTCTCCCCATTCATTGCTGCTCCCATCCCCTTCACGGCCCATTTTCAGCCTCTCGCTACCACCCCCACCCCATTCTTGGTTTATAAAACCAGGGGGTACCTCCTCTCTAGCTGCCACCCCCGGGCTGAATGTCCTTCCCACCTTTCACAGTTGCACACAATGAGCCAGCTACTCCACGGGCTGCTTCACAAAAGACTTCCCGCTGCTATTCCCACTCCCTTCAGCTGCCCTCCTACTGCTCCCACACCACCCGCCGATTCCGTGCTACAATCAACCTGCTCCCATTCACTCCTTCATCCCAGCGGCCTGACCTCTCTCTGCTCAGCAAAGTTCATGCTCATCCGCTTACCCGTGCAGTAAATTTGCCCCATCTCCCCAGCCACTCTTTTAAACCTGTTACTTGTGCACTTACGGTGAAACAACCGAACTTCACATACTGACTCTGCCAAGATAGCTACAGTTCCTGCCGCCTAAGTCTCAAAGGAAAGACGTTCTCTCCCTTATTCATAGGATATGTCTTCTGCTGCACCGAGCACGTACCCACTCACATCTCGTGCTTCAGCAAAGAAAAACTGGACTAGAAAGTAAATCTCTTGTACATAGAAATGCTACAACCAGAACTTCATGTATCCTTCTGCCCTCTCCAGACTTCTGACCTTCATAGGCCAGCGAGGGTGGAAAAAGCTAAGCGGCACTGGTTTGGTTTTACCTGACTGTCATGTTGCTGTTCACAGTTTGTGGCAAGCTGAGGCACAAGATGATCTTCAGGTCTGTCCTACACACTGCCACCGAAGAGGACCTCAAACCTAGCCAAAAAAAAAAAAAAAGCCCAGCAGCTTTCACATACTTATTCTCAACATTGAAAAGCACAAAAAAACACCCCCATCCCTTTATCCTTCACATTGGACCATTTACCTCTACAGAAAAATCAAATTATGTTAATAATGTCTCAATTCTAATCTCCTAAATAAAAATGTGAGACTATTAAATTTTGGCCCTTGACAATGACCAGCACTATTAACATTATCTTAGTTAATATTAATACACATAGAGATTTGGGCTGAGCCCTCTGGTTTAGGCTTCTGAACAAAGTCAGTTACTAAGTAGTTCTCACTGTCTTAAATGAGAATACTGCAACTAATAAAATTCTGGGCATAGGTTTTTGAGTTATATTAATACACTATTTCCCATTTAATTTGTATCATTTTAAACTTTATTTAATTTATACATATACATAACATACTTGACAACTCCTAGAAATGTTTTTATCTAGTTTAATTAGACTTTAATGACAACTACTTTAGAAAGACTTTAATTTGCAGTCTTTAGATTTTTCTTGGTTTTCTTCCTACTACACATATTTCCAAATACAGTGAGTCAAAGTAACAAGACTATCTCAGAATATGGAAAATGTATAATTTCATTGTTAAAATAGGAGCAACAATTTGTGTATTTTTATTTTTTCAAATTCCTGACAGGGTTCTTGGCAAGAATTAAATCTTTTCTAAATGCTGATGCAAATGTGACAAAAACTGTTTCCATAATTTTACACTGCACTGCATTATTGCATAATTTAAACGGCTAAGCAACTACAGAGTCTAGTATTTTCAGTTCATTTTCATAGAAGAGTGACTATACATGGCTGGACGTCGAGGCAACTACAACCAAGTATTGCATCATGTTCCACTATACTTTGTGTATCTTTGTTATAAGCATCTATGGTTTTCCCAGAAGAGAGATATTTTATAAAAAATTGAAAACATCATGTGTCCTGATGAAAGATTAATACGAAAATTTATTTTCCAGAGCAATGTGTAAAATTATTGGGTTGCAAGACAATATACATTTTGTCATGACCAACACCATTATACATACTTCAAATTTTCTTACCACATATTCATATTAATTTCTTCAAAACAAGAATGCTGGCAATGTATTTGCTCTAAGTATACCCAGCAGTACTCACTCCTAACTCTCATATCAGGGAAGAATGAAAATAGTAGTATTTGTGAAAGTGGGAGGTTACAAGCATTGTTAAACCAGGCATACCAGTTTCACCCAGATTTCCATCACCACATTTCAATCCCATGGTTGTCTGCTCCAAACCTGTTTTTTTGACCCAAGCAGTTAGCCAGGTAAAATCTGAGAACCATCATGTTTTACAGCAGGCAAAGCCACTGATGATGAATGTGCATTTATTTGAGATAACTGGTTACTTACATTGAAACCAGTTTCTCTGATCATAGAAGAAAGCCTATTAGAAGCAACTTCCTCTATACCTTTAAGAAGTTTTCTTGAGGAGAAGTCAATTTGATTTCCCACAGGGAAGGACTGTGAATTTGGCATTTAGTCTCGAACTTCAAAGCCGGCTGCCATCACTGGATCAGGGATTTTATTCAATTTTTAAAGCATTTATGTTGTACCCATAAATGCTGAAAACAGCACACATTTGGTGGGGTTTTTAGTTGTTTGGTACAGAAGATTCAAGCTACTCGTATCTTGTGGCAGAGTCTTATATCCATGTGGTCTCCCTAACACTAAGTACTCGGCCTACAAAAGACAGGAACAGGAGAAAAGTTGAAATTCAAAATCTCATCAGGCTGATGGCCAACAGCAATTACTAACATAGGTATAGTGATGTTTTACTGTTCGAGCAGATAAGCTGATCAGGCATGAAATTAGATATGCTCATCTCCAGTACATACAAGCATATCTCGTTACAATTTTACTCCCATCTTCCTTTCTGCATTACACCCACTCATTGCCCCAAATAAACCTACACAGCTATGCTGTTAAGACATACATCAACAAATGTTGATGCATAAGCCATAAACACAGGATGATTTTTTTTTTTTTTCTCTGGTGTATCTTCCAACCAAACTCGGTCCCCATCCCGATTACCCTATCGAAGCAACGGCAGCATTTTACACATGGAGTACACACGCAGCACCAGCTCGGAGTAACCAGCCGTCCTATCGCAGACAAAAGACCATCCCCTTTCCACAGAAACACTTCGAAAAGCGGATTCCCCAGACGTTTGTCCTGCGGCAGTAACCGAAACCTGCGTGCAAGACCGCCCCGCGCGTACTCCCCACCAGTGCGTTTTAACCAGCCACCCCCTCACCCGAGAGGGAACACCCCCCCCCCCCCGCCAGCAGCCCTGCACCCCCCTCAGCCCACGACCGTTACCCGGCGGCAGGCGCGAGGCGCAGGCGCGAGGCGCCAGCCATCCCCGCCCCGCCCCCCCCCGCTCCCGCCGTCTCCGCCCCTGCGCAGGCGCCGGCGCACGCGGACCGGCGCTCAGCGGCGGGCCCGGTTGCATCACCCGGCGTGAGGCGGGGTCCTTCCCGGGGCTGCCCCGCGGCGCGCCTGAGCCGCTGCCGCCCGGCCGTGAGGCTGGCGGCGGCCCCGCGCCGCCCAGCGCGGCAGGTCCCGGAGCCGGGCGCTTCCGCCTAGGCCAACGGGTGCCGGGCTGCGCGCAGGCGGCGGCGGCGGCGCCGAGCGGAGCCGGGGGTCAGGCGGCCGCGCCGGACTCCTCGCTTCCTCTTCGGGCCAAGATGGCGGGGGACGAGGCGGGAGTGACTCTGGGGCAGCCGCACCTCAGCCGGCAGGACCTCGCCACCTTGGTGGGAGCCGCCCGCGGGGCGCCCGGGGAACGGGGGTGCGGGCGCTGAGGAGGGGCGAGCCGGTTGGGGGTGGGCGGGCGGCGGTGGGAGGCTGAGGGCGATCCGTGCCTCCCTCCCGGCCCCGCCGCGGCCCCGCGGGCCGGTGAGGTCCGAGGGGGCCCGGGAGGTGGTGGGGCCCGGGGCTGAAGGGGGCGCCGGGAGGGGCGAGCTGCAGCCCGCCGGGGCTGAGGGAAGGGGTAGGTGAAGGCAGGCGCGGCGGGGAGCGGGTTGGGCCGGTCGCGGCGGGTTTGGGTTGTCTGGACGAGGCGCTTCGCTTGCCGGCCAGCCCGGGGCGCGGCGGGTCGACTTCACCGGTGAAGCTTTTGTGTGGCAGCGGTGGAGGTGGGCAGTTTCCTCCTGTAAGGATTGTCCTGCTCAGTGGTGCTAAAGGCTCTTCCCGCCCCGAAGTAGGCATTCTCTTTCCCCAGCGGGCTAGGTGGATTGGTTGCCAGCTGTTTCTCGGTTGGTCTACCAAGAAAATTTTCTTGACTATCAAGAAAATCAGTTGCTGTGATAGTCTTGGCTGTTAAATGTCTCGCCTGGGCTGTCTATCTTATTACGCATATATATTCAGACAAAATGAGTCGGAAATCCTGTTGCCTGCTTCCAAGGCTATAAAAGCTTATTTGAATTTACAGTAATAATTTTTTATATTTTGGTGGTTTGAGCACAAGATATTTTGACGTTTTGTGTTATAGCTAAGCATGTTGATACTCGTTAGTGAAACATGTTAGTAATTTCAGAAAGTTTCTTTACTTCCTTTCATTGTGGACTGTGGCGTTTGCCGGTCAGAAAGAGCACAAGTAGGCTTAGTTGGGAGGTCAGTAGGAGTTACCTTTAAGACCTATTTCTGTACTCTTTCAGTTGGCCCTCGAATGCCTACAGATGTCTGGAGCTTATAGCAGAACTTAGCTTTATACCAGTCTTGAGAAAAAAAAAAAAAATGCATGTGTGCATAATTGTGTGCACCAGGAACAAGTCTCTTGATGACAGGATTTGCATCATGCTTACGTGCTTGTCACCCATACTAGATGGTGCCATCTGCAGGTCACGTTCCCGTCACTGACTTCAGTGCATGTAGTCATTTTAAGTTAGCTATACAAGAAAAATAATTGCCTGCGTTAAGCGGACAAAACTTGTTTTGTATTGAACATGTGCATTTTATTCATGTAATACTTGAGAACAGAATGAGTGACCTTATATTTTTACACAGATGTGTTTAAGTTTATTTGATTTTATGCACAGAACTTGCATGTAACAGTGTAAGCAATACATGATTTCATGTAAATTCATGTGTGTGTGTGTGTTATTTCTGTCGTAGCAAAACATTTATATCCTGTCCTGCACTGAGGACTCTTTTGGCATCATGTGTCTTTGCTTGAACTGAGCACCTCATCCATATGAATCCAGTGCAAGATGGAAATTAACTGTAAACAGTTTAATAAATAGTACAGAGGAACATTTCAGTGGATTTCAACATTTGTCCAGTATTTGGACAAACAGCTTTAAAAAACCCAAAACGTGTCTTTCAGATTTGTCTAACTATATGGAATGTATTTGTAAGTGTTTTGATTTGCTAGGTGCTACCAGTAGGTTCGTTCAACAGGCTATTTAGGACAGCAGAATTTTTTTTCTGGTACCTAAAGTAGCAATAACAGTATTTGAGGAGAAAGTAGCCATTTAAAAATACCAAAACTAAATCCATGGCGCTAATGAAATCACTGAACCTTACTGACTCCAAGGTGTTAGTTATAATTATGTACTGACTGTAATGGAAACTCATACCAAATAAACAACTGTTTATTGACAAAACGTTGTTTTTAAAACATAGGTGCAGTTCACCATGTAGCCTATGGAAAGTTACTTTGAATTTGCCTGCTATGTGTAATTTAAGTTTGGGGATAGGTAAGGGGTTTTTCATGTGTTAGAGCTTCTTTTGGGGTATTTTGTTTTGTTTACTTCCATCTTTAACACCTTGCAGCCTGTACCAATCTACAGTCAGTGTTTTGATGTGCAATCTGTACTGATTTACAGTCAGGATTTTGTTCACTTTCTGTCCTATTTCACATCCTTAAAAGACTGGAATGCCTATCTAGAATTATTTTAATGGGCTTGGTTGGATTTTGCTGAATAGAACTACTGGATAATTAAAAGAACAAAACAAAACAAACCATGTAGTACTCTCTAAACATTTAGATACAAGATGTGTAAATTCTAAAATCTCCCTCATACAGGATGTTACCAAACTGACGCCTCTTTCACCAGAAGTCATCAGCAGACAAGCAACAATTAACATAGGTAAAAACAAACTTCTAAGAAAGAGGGGTGCATTAATGTGACTCATGCTCACAAAGTAGTGCATGGTACCTATGTGAGAACATTTTTAAGAAATTCTTACTGAAACAAACAGTAATGTAGATACAATGGTTTTATTATAAATTTTATCAGGGCATGGGAGGATACTTGTCAAACCCTTTTAATTTGGGAAGCACTAATTTTACTTCAAGAACACTGTTGAATGAAGTGGGAAATAGTTGCTAAAACAAACGTTATTTTACCTTAAAATTAAGTATTGAAATGAGTTTTGTGGAAATGCAAAGACCTGTCCATTGAGAGCTCAATTTAGGATTTTTTTTTTGTTTAAATAAAAGCGATTACGAAACCCATACATACTTCTGATGGAAGGTCTGAACTTACTGGCTACAGAGGGTTTGGGGTAATTTTGTTGATCATAATGGAACGTTGCTCAAAATTAAACAATGGTTTATTGACAAAATTTGTTTTTAAAACATAGGTACAATTGGTCATGTAGCCCATGGAAAGTCGACAGTAGTCAAAGCTATATCTGGAGTTCATACTGTCAGATTTAAAAACGAACTGGAGAGAAATATCACAATCAAGCTGGGTT